ATATATATATATATATATATATATATATATATATATATATATATATATACCGATACAAAAATATCTTTAATACGATACAAATTGTCGCCATGGTGTGCATCCACGTATATGCACTCAATGTCGTAACAAATGCATTCGCAAGTGCATATTGCATTTCATTAGAGTGCGTGCATACGTAAAAAAAACGCACAATTCCAGGGTTACGCGACTGTGCGGTTCGTTACGTGATATTGCAGCATTGCATGGCGCGTCGTCGGCGTGAAAAAAACCTAATCGCATATTTCGGAGCAGCGCTCTTGCGGAAAAATAGCCGACGTGCTACCAGTTTTTTTCCGAAACCGCTGCGAGCGAGTGAACGAGCGAGCAGTCCTAAAAAAAAACGTCGTTTATTATACAACTCGTTCTTTTCAACGAGACGAAATGACACGCTTTACGAGACGTTCTTAGTCCGGAGTGTTTCTAAAAATGGTGCTGTCTCATCACACCTGTCTTATTATTCTGACGATATTATTACGCCGTACAGATTAGACGTTAAAAAGCGGCCGTAAAAGAAAACGATTTCCGATCTTCGATCGTTACCTGTGTACGATACACGTGGCTAATCTCTTCGCAGAAAACACATAAGAGATCCAAAATCGCCCAAAATATGTCTAGAATGTCCTGAAAACATCCAAGATTATCTTAGGATGTTTTGTGCTATTCATACGGAAAAAACAAATATCGCAACTAATAATGGTTTTGAAAATATATTCGTTGCTGTAACTAAAATTTTGCTATTGTAACTAAAACTTTCGTTATTACATCGCTTTCACAGGTAAATATCTACACATGGAAAAACATTATTCTGTTGCTGAGAAAAGCGATTACTCAGTTTATTTTCCTTCTTTTAAGTGATGGTTATTTTCAATAAAAAATATTTTTTTGACAATAGTTTCAAAATATATTCGTCATAAATTTTGGAAAAGTTTATTATCATTATCATGTACTCTAAAAAATTTATTCTTTTTTATTAAGAATATTGTAAAGCTTTATCAAAAGGAAAAAATTTGTTTCAACTCTGTACAGCAAGCAAAATGAATTTTACCTTTAATTTAATATTCTTCATTCCATGATCACGCGTATCCAATAGGAAAACATATTTTTTCCTGAGAATTACTAAAGAAAGAATTCTTCTGCTGAAAAACTCATCGAGGAAAAGTATCGTCACCATTAATCAGCCGACTGTATATAGCAGTGCAAAAGAAATTTTTCACGCATATACAATTTAGTGACCTACTACTGTTTTTATTTGAATAATTTTTTTTATTTTCGATGCAGTTCAGAACGCAACTTAACTTTTGAGAATTAATCAAAAGATAGTTCTCTTAGGGCCGATTTTTTCAAAAATCGATGCGTAAGCTAACAGTTAAATCATGTGTGTCTCTTTTTGTTTTCCCTCCAAATTAGACAACGACATATGATTCAACTGTTTGTTAGCTTACCAAGAGGTTGGGAAAATCGGCTGACCATACGCCGATATTTCATCCAACAGCGCACGTCTGTCGTGTCGTTTGACAGCGTTTATCATCTCGCATTTCACGCCGAATGATACACGGTGGATTCGGTCGGCGCGTCGACGGGAGGAACCATCGACGCAACGTACAGCTTGTAGTCGAGTGCAGTACCGAGAACGTGCAGTACGCCGGTATTTCTTCTTTTTTTTTTTTTTTCGAAGCTGTACAGGGACGCACGGCGTTTCTCTCGTTCTCGTGCCCCCTCTCCCTCTCGTTCTTTTTCTCCTGCAAGCCGGCTCGCGTTCGCTCTTTCTCCCTCCTTCCCTCTTTCCCGTCTGTCTCACGGCATTTCAACCGGGAAACAGCTGATCGTCGCCCCTTTAATCGTCTCGTCGAGCCGTCGTCGTGCAAGGTGAGTCGCTCAGGATGGCTGAGCCATCTCGAATTCAACGTGTACGAGTCGCGATCGGCGCGTGTGGGCGCTCCGGCGCGTTCGAACGAGAGCTCAGAGCGCCGGTGCTCGGCGCGACCTTTGTAGGTTAGGAAGGGCTTCTTCCGACCGCTCAGCCTCGCGCGCGAACGGCTGCACGGGACGCGCAATGGCCGCCCTTCTCAAGACGCGTCCGAATTCCCCAATGGGAACTCGAACGGATCCTCTCCCGTCGTGACCCGCCATTCCCCGCGTCGAGCGCTTTCGAGCCCGAGACGAGATTGTCGCGACGAGCATCGGCCGTAGATCGATTAGTTGCATATTATGTGTCATTGTTCACTCACCGATGAAACTTCGTTCGCCGAAAGCAACGCACGATATATCCTACTGTGGCCGCCATGTTCGCGACTTGTCCGAATTTCATCGTTCCGTGAGTCGCGCCTCGAAGACGACGCCTGCTCATATTCACGTGGCCGTCGCTGTTTCCCCGGGGGATGTTCCTGCAAACAGGCGCGGCGTTAATTACGCGACACTCCGCGTTCGCGCGAACAAAAAGCCCGGCGTGCCGACGCGAGTGCCGGCGTTCGAACCGCGCGGTGGAAGGCGCCATGGCGGTTGACTGGAGAACCTCATAGGGAGAGAGCGGCAAATTCGGTCACGTGATCGGATCTCCTCTGATTGGCCCTGGACGCCACAGTGTAGGCATATATATATATATATATATATAGGGATAAAGAAGAAAAGCTTGCTCGCGCGCTGTACCGATCGATCTCCGTGAGTAATATGTATTGTTAGGGCCTGAGCACAAAGATTGTCGCAATTGTTTCCGACAGTATCGTAGACGTAAGTCGATGTCGGAAGTCAACGCACAAGGATTGACGTAAACCCCTTATAGAAATATCATACTAAGAATCATTGATAATTACTTATTATCCAGTATTTTTAATACTGAAGGTATTAGTATGATATTCTATAAGGGACACATGCTGCATAAATTGTGTCGTTTAATCATATTTGATACAGCATACGTCTACGCCAATCCTTGTGCGTTGACTTCCGACACCGACGTACGTTTACGACACTGTCGAAAACGATTGCGACAATCATTGTGTTCAGGCCCTTAGCCTATTATCTATTTAGAAGAGATGTGTACTTGAATTGGATGGCCTAACACATTTTAAAAGAACTCTTCTAATCTGTCGGCATGACAACTAATCTCAACTTTGACCTAGCTTTCCTTACCAATTCCTATACATGTGAACATAAAAGTCTGGTGCCTAAGCCAATTAGAGATTTCGTCACGTGATGCCATTCTCTCCCTACGAAAAAGATGGCATACAGAAAAACATAAATTTTCGTATAAAACTTTCGGTATAAAACTTTTGACTATATAATCAAGAATTGCTAGCTGCGCTTACCCTTCCCTGCAGTAAAATGTCTACAGCGCCGCCACTACTAAATAACGGCCGTTATCTAAACTATCTTCATACTTTTATATCTGTTTTACCTACGTTGTTTTGTTGGTAATCAAGAATTATTAATTATTAATCGGCTGATTATTCCAATGGAATTGACCAATCGCATTTCTCGTAAAATTAGAGAATTAATCGTTAGAATTGCGATTGGTCAATTCCGTTGAAATAACCAGCCGGTTAAGTTAACCAAAGTTCGTAGAAACGGGCATGAATAATATTGCAAAATTCACGATCACGAAAGAAACAATCGTCAGGTGAAGCAAGAATAAACATACGGCGATAGTTCTCTCAGAAAGGCTGTCGTTTGGCGCTGTAGATGTCTGCAGAAGTTTAAAATCGCAGCCAGCAGTCCATAAGTTATATAGTCTAAAGATGAGACGTCACCCATCTATTCGAGACTCTCTACTTAATCGCTGGCGTCGGTGTTCCGGCGCTGTGCGCGGCGCAGGCGCACGACGCCGGCGATGGTGGACGGAAATTCGTGAGTCGGCAATGGCCGCCGCTGTGTTATCTATACGCGCAACGGAGCGTGGTGCTCTCGCCGAACGCTCCGGCAGCTAGTGCACGGACGCGGGCACGTCGTCGACGGTTGATATCAGTCTCACGTGGTCGCACGCGCGAGAAATGGGCTCGAAGAAGCACAAAAAACACAAACGCGAGAGGCACGAAGGTGAGGAACGGACGAAAACACTCGCCGCGGCGAGTGTACCGTCATTTTTCGCGTTCAGCGGGGACCCGTGCCGTACGCCTTTTCACGGTTCTCCCGATATTCACGGCTCGCGATTTGTTTCACCTCGCGCGACTAGCCGCCTCGTATTTCTCCTCCTCCCTCTGCTCTGTCATTCGTTCGTTCATTCGGTCCGCCGACAGTCGCCGAACGGAGCGTCTAAACGAACGGTCACGATAAATCTCTGTCAAAAACGGTTCGCTCAGAGAGTTGGCTCACTGCCCCCGAGGAAAAGTGATCGCAAGTTGAATGTGTGACGCGTTAGATTCGTAAAAGGCTCGTTACGTCGCGCCGAGCCGAACCAAGTTTGTACATCTTGTATGTCGATTGTAAACAAGGATCCGAATGAAAAGGTGGACGCTCCAGAGCGAGGGGAGAGAAATGCCGAGGCTGCCGCGCGTCTCACTTCGTGAAAGTAGCTCGCGCCGTGAAGGCAACGGTCTCCTGCGACGCTTTCATTGGGATCCTTCTCCTCGTACTCATAGTTTAATGATGCACAGGGATTTTGACTACGTTTTCACCACGGGCAAACTGAGAGTGAGGTTGGAGTAGAAGTGAGGTGGATACGAAAGTATATACCGAGCGTTCCACAGCGACAGGTGCGACGTGGAAGTAAGTGACGAGTAACAACAGACACGGACTGGTTGCACGACAGAAGCCTAGTGCTGTGCTTCCAAGATTATACAGATGCCCCCACCCCGCCCCACCCCTTTCATTTTGGTTATCTGTTGTATTTGTTGAAGTGCAACAAGAGATCTCGGGAGACACTAAAGTCACACCTTCCCTTGTTACAACAGAGCGTATGCATAGGGCACAAGGTATATAGATTTGGACAGCTACAGATTACGATATAATATACCTGTTGCACTTCAATCATATGATTCCCCCCCCCCCTTTGCCCCCCAAAACCCCTTTGGCTGTTATGTATCGTGGCGTTGAGGGCCACACATCCGCTTTGCTTCGCCTCTTAGCGAGGTGTTTGTTCGATTTTAATGATTGCTCTCTCCCTGATCATTCCCGCCGATTAAGTGAGATTTAACGTGACAAGATGAACATTATTTTACTGCATATTTCTATTACAAGGTTTGTTTACTTTGAGTCGAGCTACTTCCATCTCGCTTCCAGTTTGTTGAATGTGAAAACAAGGTCACTATCCTGTAATAAAGTCATCTTTACATTAATGTCGGTACAACTTCCATTTCTCTTTCTTTCTCTCTCCTCTCTCTCTTTTTCTATCTACTTATATCTATCTATATATATATATATATATATATATATATATATATATATATATATATATATATATATATATATATATATATATATATATATATATATATATATATATATATATATATACAGATATATATATACACATCTGTATGTATCTATATATATGTACATTTCAATCTATCCATCTATATCTATCTATTCGTCTCTCTCTCTCTCTCTCTCTCTCTCTCTCTCTCTCTCTCTCTCTCTCTCTCTCTCGCACACACAC